TAAAATTAGGCTTCTACGGGCCTGGGATGGTAGCTCAGTGGTAGAGTGCTTGCCTTGCATGCCTGAGGCCCTGGGTTCGATTCCTCAGCACCACATAAGCAAAAAGAAAAAAGCCGGAAGTGGCGCTGTGGCTCAAGTGGTAGAGCGCTAGCCTTGAGCTGAAGAGCTGAGGGACAGTGCCCAGGCTCAGAGTTCAGGCCCCACAACCGGACCCAAAAACAAAACAAAAAAAACAAATAAAATTAGGCTTCTAGTAAAACTGTCAGCCTCTTGGTACCATTTCATTGATAAGTGAGGTTTGGGGGATGACAATTGTGGGGGAAGGATTTTGTGGAAAGGTGCTAAGATGATTAGGTCACCATGATTGTTTTGCCAGTCCTGGGGCTTGAACTCTGGGTCTGGGCACTGTTCCTAGCTTTGCTCAAGGCTAGCACTCTACCACTTGAGTCACAATATCACTTCTGGCTTTTTTTTTCTGTGATTAATTGGAGATAAGAGTCTCATGGGACTTTCCTGCTTGGGCTGGCTTGGAACCATGATCCTCTTAGATCTCAGCCTCCTAAGTAGTACAGAGTACAGGTATGAGCCACTGGTGCCCAGCTTCTGATTAGGATTCTTGATGGAGAATCTATGACCATGTATTTTCCCATTACTATCTTAGTAGTACCTTAGGGATCTGGGAACCTAGGAAAGAAAATGAGGGTGCAGGGAAAGGAACTCATTCTGTTACGAGTATTGCCTTATTTATTTAACAGTGTGTCCTATAGACTAATGAGCAAACACTTTAAAAAGATATTTAAGAAACTTCAGAGCCTGTTTTTGTCTTTCCTTACTCTTAATATCTATCTATCCCTAATTTCTACTCAATATCTCAGTTGTAATACCCATTTTTGTCTTTCCTCACCTTAATATATATATTTTTTCAGTCCTAGGCTTGAATTCAGAGCCTAGGCACTGTCCCTGAGCTTTTGGGATCAAGGTTAGTGCTCTACTAATAAAGTAACAGCTCCACTTCTGGCTTTTCTTGGTGCTTAATTGGAGATAAAAGTCTCACAGACTTTCCTACCCAGACTGGCTCCGAACTGTGATCCTCAGAGCTCAGCCTCCTGAGTAGTTAGGATCACAGGCATGAGTTACTAGTGCCCAGCAAACCTTAATATCTTCTTTGGTAAAATTTCATATTTCATGTTTTCTCTACAATGCCTAGCTAGACCATATATTTTCTAGATGTTTTATGTGGTCTATATATCATCATTCATGACAATGCTGATGCCAGTAAGTAAACCTATCTAAAAAGGGAGAGTAATTTTTTTTTTTTACTCATGTCACAACTGAGTGAAGGCTAGTGGTCAATCAGAAGAGCTTTGTTTCATGAAATCACCAACACATAGATTTCCATTTAGGTTCATTATGGTATCAACTTTAGCAAGGGTCCACTTGCTTCAGTAATGCTCTAAGGTTAAGGAATGGTTAGAGGGAGAGACTAGAATGAAGGCTAATTGAGTTTTAGTTGTCTAGATCCAGAAGTGAAATCATTTCTGCTCAATTTCCATTGGTTGGAATTAGCTGTCTGGACTTACCTAGATGCAAAGGGAATGAGAAAAAACAGTTGCATGCCCAGCAAGGGGAACTGACATTTGGAGAGCAACAATGAAACTATTGAGACATCACTATTTTTTTTTAGGACTGCATCTGTTATAATGCAAGCACTTAAAAATGTTTGCAGAACAAGTAAATGAAATAAATGAATAAATCTTCATGCAATTCTGATTTTAGGTTTTTCTAAGGCAGAAAATAGGAAGGACATTATTTGGAGGAAAGTTGAAATTTCTCTACCACACCCTATTCATATGACTATGAGTATGAAGTTATTTTACAAGTACTCTGAAAATCTAGTCCCTTGAAGATATGTTTATATTCATTCAGCAAATATTGGAGTGCTTTGAACCTGTTATGTGCTATGCCATATGCATAGTGAATGTAATCATTCCTGCTCATTGGCAATTCAAACTCAGGAACTTGAATGTTCAAGGCAAGCTACTCTACCATTGAGCTACATCCCCAACTCAAGAATCACAATGATCATGCAGTTCCATGATAGTGATATGTGTGGACTGTGGCAGGAACACTGAAAAAGGGCACCTGACTCAGCCAGGAATGGGCCTTTTAGGCTTCATTTTCCAGAACAAGGATACTTCAGCTGAATGAACATGAGATTGACAGTTGATGCTAATATGTACTAATATGTACAATTTTGACTATGTAGGAGAGAATCATCAGTCTAGTATGCCACAAATGTGTGGCAAAGGATAATGGAAGTCAAGACTGGAGAGAGAGCCCTGGGCTGGTTCATGAAACACTTGTAAAACTGGGATATGTGAAGAAATAATGAACAGAAATTATAGATGGGGATTACATGATGTTTCTCCCTTGGATGAAAGAATTGATACACAGTCAAATGTAAACAAAACTCATTCCATACCTATTTTTCTCCACAGATTCACTGCAAATAATATATGATTGATAACATTAGGAAGCAAACAAAGACTGTTCAGTGTTGCAACGATAATTCTATGGTAAGAGATTAAACACAAGCAAAGAAAGGCACAATAACACTCATTCATCTCAACATAGCCTTGATATGAGAGTAGAGCAGAAAAGAAACCCATTCAAAGAAAAGACAGGAAGTGATTTTGTGGTTTTGCAAAAAATAAAAACCTCTTGTCAACAGAGAGGAGTCTTCTAAAACAAGCTTGTTTTAGATGGACTATGGGAAAAACAACAACTAGGAATAATTCTTCTAGGTCCTGCCCTCAGAACTTCTCGTCAGTGAGCATTGTTAAAATTGGTCAGCTAGGGAACCAAGTACTTAGCCCAATTCAGTCAGTAGTTATTGAGCACCCATGTATGAATTCTTTCTTCATTCATTCTGCCCATTTGAATGACGCTTTTGTATCATGATCTATATAAGATACTACTAGGAAGTAAAAGATAGGCAAAGATATGATGGTATTGTCCTTGCAAAACTCAACTAATACATGAATTGAAAGGTTTCTAACCAAAGATATGCTGTACTGAAGGATTAAATTACAACACACATGCACACGTGCCTGCCCCCCCTCCATGCACATGCACGCACATATACACTTTGGAATCCAAAGCCCATATTAAATCTTGACTGTCAATACACTGTAACATTATTTTAAAGTACAACATGAAGATGATACCATCTATATCACAATTGTCAGGATTAAATGAGATGACTCATGTGACAACTTTGTGTAAACAATACAGAACTTTGCAAACACATTGGTGGCAAATTATTGAAGATGAATATGTAAGAACTTTCAAGCAATGTTTATTAAAGTGTGCTTGTTGAAACATTAATGTCCAAGGGTGGTAACTGACATTTCACAAGAAGAAAATTCTGTGGTCAAGTTTGAGAAAGGTAAGATTAAGGAAAGTAAAGCACGAGTCTTAGGCCTGTCAAATGTGAATGTGTATTGTGAATATTAAGGAAAGCAACCATATGTATCTCTTTCCCCCAAAGTATTGTGATCATCTCTGTATGCCCTAGCATGCAAGACTCATTTTGAGAAGACAGCTAGTAGTAGCCTTCACTACAACAAATTCATCAGCTTTTCAAAAACTGAGCTATTCACCATCAGGTAATTTAGAAATTCATGGGTTGGGAAGGTGGCTCAGTGGTAGAGTGCTTGCCTCGCATGTATAAGGCTCTGGATTCGATTCCTTAGACCACATAAGCAGAAAAAGCTGGAATTGGCACTGTGGCTTAAGTGGTAGAGCACTAGCCTTGAGCTGAAGAGCTGAGGGACAGTGCCCAAGCCCAGAGTTCAGGCCCCAAGACTGACAAAAAAGAAAGAAAGAAAGAACAAACGAACGAAAGAAAGAAAGAAGGAAAGAAAGAAAGGAAAGAAGGAAGGAAGGGAGGAAGGGAGGAAGAAAAGAAGGAAAGAAAGAAGGAAAGGAAGAAAGAAGGAAAGAAAAAGAAATTCATGCAACTGTTGCCCAAGTAAGGTGTTGAGATGTCTGCTAGGAGCTGTATAAAAGGGCCAGCCAACCTTTAGTCAGAGTTAGAGGGGGTTCCCACAGAGCATGGATGTGCAAGATGTGGATACATTTAATATTCCTTCCAGGACACTCACTGGTGACACACTAGTAGCAATGATAAAGCAACAAAAGTGAAGAGACGCGTGCTGAGTCTGAAAGACTCTACAATTAGACGTAAAAAAAATAAAAACACTAAAAGTCAAGTGACAACATAAGATAATTTCTCCACTTTGAAAAAGAAAAAGGGTTCAGGACCATCTCTAGGAAAAAAACAACTGTTTCCTTCCTGCACATCCAGACAAGTTCATCAGGGTAACAGCTTTCCCTTTGCCCCTTTCGTACCTCCAGTCTCCCTTGTGATTCCCTCAGCACATCCCAAGCTCGGTCTCATTTTTAAACCTCCCTGCAGAGAGCAATTGAGAGCAGCCAGGACAGGAGAACACCGCGGTAATGCCCTTCAGGTGGACCAGCGAGGCCCCGCCCACTTTTCCTCCGGAAGCAGCGCGGATGAGGAGTTGGGGCTACCCGGGAGACTGGGGTGGGGGAAAGTGGGCGGGAAAGGGTGAAAAATACAGTGGAGGCGGGTCTATCAGGGTGGTGGTGTGCTGGGCGCGGAGCTAAGAGGGCACTAGAACCTGGAGGGACCCGGTTGTCCCGTGGCCGGACTACCAGGGGGCGGGGCAGATTATAAGGGTCTGAGAAATTTAAGGGGCGGGGCTACCAGGGGAGGGGCGGACCGAAGGGGAGGGGATCTGAGAATCCGAGGGGCGGGGCTATCAAGGGCGGGGCCGATCAGAGGGGAGTTTGAGGAACCTGAGGGGCGGGGCTATCGGGGCGGGGCGGATCTGAGGGGGGGCTGAAGAACCTGAGGGGCGGGGCTATCGGGGCGGGGCTATCGGGGCGGGGCGGATCTGAGGGGGGGGCTGAAGAACCTGAGGGGCGAGGCGCGGGCGCGCGCTGGGTGCGGTGTTCCCGCCCGCCGCGAAGGCTGAGCGTTCACTACCTGGAGCAAGCCGGTAACCCGCGGCTGTCCGGCGGCGCGGCCTGAGCGCGTGGGGTGGTGGCGCGGCGGGGCGGCACAGCGGGGCTTTCACGAGAGCCGCGCGCGGACGAGCGGGGAAAGGGCCGCGGGACCTCGGCGGGGTCGAAGCCGCCGCCGCTCAGGTGCGCTTCTCCGGGCCGCCGCCGCCGCCCTCGCCCCGCGGCCGGGGTGAGGTGTGGGGCGCTGGCTGTGGTGGCCGCGGTCTGTCGGGGCGTCGCGGTTGTCTCCTCTCCAGATGTCGCCGTGGCTGGGTGCGCGCTCCATTCCCGGCTCCTCCCGACGCCTGCCCTGCGAGGCCCGAGGGAGGTTTGGGGGAGACCTCGGCCCTGGGCGGCGGACCCCGGCTCTGCGCGCGGACCACGGGCCGCCAGTGGCTCGGGACTTTGGAGGACAGGGACTTTGGGTCCCCTCGTCGGGCGAGGTTGGGAGAGAGCTGCGTTTCTGGAAGTTTCTGGAACTTCGGGGAGTGACCCCCGAGTGTTAAAAGGCCGCTTTCCCATGCAAACCAAACTGCCCTCTGCCCAGCCAGGTGTTAGATTTAACATCTACCTCTTCCATGTTTTCCTGTGCTGTGATTTTCTTCAAAAGCTGCTCTACCTAGCTCTCTAAAATCGATTCCTGTTCTACATAGGAATATAGAATGGTTGTCGGATTGTGTGACATCTGGGGACAGACAAGAGAGGGGCCAAGCCAAACATTGATCCCTTTAGGATATTAAAATCAAGTATGTAAAAGGATTGCTTTTGTAATCACATTATTCTGGTTCTCACTGCTGGTAGGCAGTTCATTAGAGTCGTGTTTTTCCTGGAAAATGCGGAGAATTAAAGTCCAAAACTTCATTTCCCATTTTGATAGGCAATTTCATCTTGGTATAAAAGTGCTTTATTGGAAGGGAATGTTAGTAATGCCTGGCTTTAGAAAAAGAATCGAAGTTACTTGCTTTTTAATTTGGGGGGGGGGTTGCAGTTTTTTTTTTTTGCTGATGAGTTTAGCCTTCCTGACTGGTAGGGAAACCATAGTACCAATTTGTTGATGTTTTTTAAAGCTGTTTAACGGGAGGGGGGTCGGAAGCCCAAATCCCCACATTTTAAAGTATGTCTTGGATTCCATTTGCTTCACTAGAATTATAACTATTCATGAATAAAACTAATTGAGAGTTCAGTTCAGATGAAAGAAAATGAGATTGCAATTCTTGTAGGGCATCTATTTGAGCTGGCTAGGTAGCAGTTGGATTTATTGGTAACAGGTTTTTCTGAAGTCAGGTTCCACTCATAGATGAGTTTGTAGTGGTTAAGCCTGAAGGGGTGAAAGAAATCATTGAAATGAATATAGAATAAAGAGAGGGAGACCAGGATTGGTAGAGACAGCTGAAGAGATTCAGGAGTGATCAGGAACATTTAGAGACTGTGGGGCTCTGGAAACTGATTTGGAGAGGAGAGTTATAATAAGGAAAGTCTTATCTGGAAGTGATATGGAGTCTGGAGATCAGGAAGTTAGGACCTGATTGTCTATTGGCTTTGGGAGTTAGCTTTGGGGGGGGGGGATTGCCCTCAGCAAACACAATTTAAGTAGAAAGGTAGAAGCTAAATTTGAATGATTTTGAAATACTAATACAGGTAAAGAAGTAAGCCTAAAGTAGAATTTGTAAATGAGAAAAGCTAGGAGAAGTGACAGCATTGTTAGTAGAGGGAATCCCATAGTAAGATTGGAAAAAAAATAGTACAGAATAGCTTAGGTCAAAGTACATGGTCTCCTAACATTGTTAATTTCTTGTGGTTAAATCTTAAAGGTGAGAACAGTAGTTGAGTATACTGAATAGCACTCTTGGTTATAAAGGTATTTTATCTGTCCTCACCTAAATCATGAATGTCATTTTTAGTAGTGTTATGGTGTAGTGGGGTCAGGTGTTTTTACTAGTGTTTAAGTCACAATTCTAAACTGTGTTGAACTATCTTTTGTGGCAGCCCAATACTCTGATATTCCTACCTTGTAAGCCCTTTAATTCCTTCTGGTATGTTTCAAAAGTCCCTCTCAAAATCTTATGTTAAGGGGCTGGGAAGGTGGCTCAGTGATAGAGCGTTTGCCTTGCATGCCTGAGGCTCTGGGTTCGATTCCTCAGCACCACATAAGCAGGAAAAAAAGCCAGAAGTGGCTCTGTGGCTTAAGTGGTAGAGCACTTGCCTTGAGCTGAAGAACTGAGGGACAGCGCCCAGGCCCAGAGTTCAGACCCCACGACCAGACTAAAAAAAAAAACTTATGTTGGAGTTGACATTTTGACTAAATCAGAACAGCAATATATAAATATCAATTATGACATTGGCTTTGATTGGGAAAATGTTCTTGGCTTAGAATGTGTGTAATGAGTTTTACTTCAGTCTTCATTTTGTTGTCCTAAAATTAAGACCAGTAATTTATTTAGTGGAATATATTTCTTAGGAATAGGAAGAGAATGGTTAAAATAGATCTGAATACCATGTATTGGTGAGGCTGTAGACCTGGGACACTCATATTGTGCTGGTAGGAATGTAAATCAGTAGCATCTTTGAAAGAGTTTTTTTTTTTTTTGCAATATCTACTAAATTGAGACATGAATAAACTATGGACTAATATATAGCAAACAAAATTCTAGAAAATGCAAACTCATCTAACATACCAATCTGTATGCCAGTGATTACTTGGCCATGGGTTGTGAGAAAGTAAGGAAGGATAGATTAAAAGGAGGCTTGATGCAGCTTTTTGGAATGATGCATATATTGATATGCTTGGTTGTGATGATACTACTCCAAAATATGCATAAATGACTCATGTAATTGTATGTTTTAAACTTTGATATTTATTATAGGTCAGCCACAACTCAGTAATGCTATAAGAAAATATTTGAATGGAAGAAACCACATCATGTAAGTATATTTACTGTTTTAAAAACACTATAGTTACCTGAGGTGGATAAGATTATGAATAATCTTAATTTTCTTTTTTTTTAATCTATCAATTAGAGCTGCTGAGTATGTGATTGGGCAGTCCATACCATGAAATTGTCTCATGCATAAAATTACCTTCCAATTTTATAGGTGTAGAAGAAACACAATTAAATTTCAAGGTTATACTTGGTTTCCATACCCAAAATAGCTGCAGGACTACCTGCAGGTAGTCCAAAATTCTAAGGTTTCCAATATCCTAAATGTGTCTGGTCCCAAGCATTTCAGATAAGGGATATCTGTATTTATGAATATGTTTGCATATAGTATACACACATGTGTACACATATATGCATACACATGTACTTTTCAGAGCAGAAAACACAGTAATCAAAAAAGGCATGATACACTGGAAGAATGTCACATATGATGATTAGTGAGTTAATATCTGAACAATATAAATACTAAAAATCATGAAGAAGGGCTGTGAAGGTGGCTCAGTGGTAGGGTGCTTGCCTTGCATATACAAGGCCCTGGGTTTGATTCCTTAGCACCACATAAACAGAAAAAGCTGGAAGTGGCACTGTGGCACAAGTGGTAGAGCGCTAGCCTTGAGCTGAAGAACTGAGAGACAGCACCCAGGCCCAGAGTTCAAACTCCACAACCAACAGCAACAAAAATAAATTTTAAAAAAATCCTGAAGAAAAAGTTCAGTGGATTTAAGAAAAGATGAGCAGGAAATACTGAACATAAAAACATTGGTTAGATGTTTCCTTTTCCATGTCAGATGGGTAATGTGCCCACCTTGTAACAAGGTTTAGAGCGAGGCACATGCCACATGAAGACCCATTTATCACGCTTATGAACTGGAAAAGAATCATGGTTAGTTTTATATTAGAAGATACATGGGCAAAAGTCCAGTATTTAAACAACACATTTTGTTGGTGGCAGAAACAAGTACTGTCACACATTGCTATTGAGAGTGAGAAATGGTATCACTTTAGGGAGAAATTTAACAACACGAGCAAAATCACACATATATACCTACTGCCCTCATAGCTGATTATCTTATAGCTCTAACACCATTATTTCTAATAGCAAATGAGTCAAGAACAAATCTGTTTTTATCTTAGTTTTTAACAGAACTATAAAATTGAAGCCTTAGGGGAAATTTGATCACTGAGTAGTTGTCCATGTTTGTTTTATAATGTCATTGTGATTTTCTTGGAAAACTTTTAGAAATGTTTAATATGTTATAATCTATTACAGATACTGTTTTAGTACTTCATGTGATGAATGCTCAGCCAATCAGAGCCTCACAAAGTTAACTCCTGGGTCCTCCTGCCACATATTTTAAAGATTACTACTTACATACTTACGGATGAAATTATCTGATTGGAATTTATTTCAAAATAACCCAAAGGACAGGGTAAGTGGGGAGGTGGTGGTGAAATAAGATTTGCTATGACTTGATAATTGTTTAATCTGGATAATTTGAGTTTCATGATCCTGTATTCTTTTGCATATGTTTGAAATTTACTACAAAAATGAATGTAGGGGCTGGATTCTGTCCCTGAGCTCTTTTGCTCAAGGCTAATGCTCTACCACTTGGAATTGTAGCACCACTTCCAGTTTTTGAGAGATTAATTAGAGATAATGGGGATTTGGGGACTTTTCTGCCCAGGCTAGCTTCAAACCACTATCACCACATCTTAGCCTTTTGAGTAGCTAGGATTACAGGCAAGAGTCACAAGTTCTGGCTCTGCAACATGCTTTAAGCTTTTAATTAAAGTAGTATGGGTTTAAATACAAATTTAAGTGGGTATAAATGAAGAGAATACATTTGGAACAGAGACACTGAATCCAGGGTGGAAATTAGACATAAAGTTCGTATATACCTCTTATTCCTGGTAAGTGTAAAACTTGCTCCTTTCAATTGCATTGTGTCTCATTAGTATTGTCTATCTGTATGAGACACGTTTTTGTTTAGTTGATTGGTTTTTTTTTGTGTGTGTGCTGGTTCTGGGACTTGAACTCAGGATGTTAGCACTGCCCCTTGAGCTTTTTTGCTCAATGGTAGTGCTCTGCCACTTGAGCCATACAGTTCCACTTCTGGCTTTTTGTTAGTTAATTGGTGAGATGAGTCTTGTGGACTTCCCTATCATAAAGTGTGTACATATCTGCTTATTGGCCCTAATACAGGACTTTAGATTATCAAAATAATTGGTCTTGTGAAAATGAATTTTTTTCTTGAACTTTTTATGTGTGTCTGATTTTCTTTCAAATTTTAGATGCAGAATTAGGTATATCAAAAGTGTTGATGAGATTTTTTCCAGGTTTTAACATTGAAATTTCTTGTTGGGTAATTTTTAAGCATTCCATTTTTAATAACTTACAAGGATCTAAATGTTATATAAAATTATATTTGGGAACAGTATTTTCCTTCTTAAATCTTTCTTCAGAGCTCAAATTATATATTACAAAAATAGATAATGTAATTTATTTAGTGGTATCTAATGACCTCAAGCATAATGGTTTTAATTTGCTTTCTGTTCTGTCAACAGGTTGATATTAAAATTGAAAGTTTATTGGATATTAGAAATTGAATGTAATGGCAACAGAATTTATCAAGAGTTGTTGTAGAGGATGTCTCTATGGTGAAACAGAAAAGCAGAAGAGTAAGTGTTGATTTCAGTGCACATTTACTTAGTGCCTTTGTTTGTGGCATTTTGTATTATAAAGATAAATTAGGGGTTGAGCACCATAGTTCAAGTCTGTAAGCCTAGCTACTTGTGAAGCAGAGATTGTAGGGTCACAGTATGAGGCCAGTTTAGGTAAAAGTTCATGAGATTCCATCTCAACAAATGACTTTATATAGTGGTGCATACCTGACATTCCAGTGACACAGGGAAGTATAAGTAGAAAGATGGAGGCCTAGGCTAGCCTGGAAATGAATCAAGACTTTACCTCAAAAGAAAAAGAAATAAAAAAAGAGGAGCTTTAGTTATGGATCAAGTGGTGGAGCATCTACCAAATATGAGGCCCTGAATTCAGTTCCCCCCCAAAAAAAATTAGGAATATTTTCTAAGTTTGTTGGAGGGATAGAAATAAGGCATACTAGGTCAGTATTCTAGAACTCACAAATCCTGCGGTGCGTAATGAAAAGACAGAAGTCAACCCAAAAGACACACAGGACATCAACATAACTATAAAGAAAATGGAAAGAAGATTTGCCATGGAAGCCTGAATAGGACATTAGCAGAAGAAAGTAAGAGAATGGACAGCTATATGGAATAATGGATACATATAGGAAGAGAGGTGTGTTAAGGGGACAACATGTACTCTGACAAATGTTTTGGTATAGAAACAAAAATTCAATTTATGTCTATAGTACATTTCCATATACTATATAATACATATATGTACTTTTTCAAGGGAGGAAGAAGCCCATAAATTTATTAAGATCCACATTTCTCAATCTCTAGAGATTTTGTTATTGCTCTAGGGTTATGATTGGAACCTTATTTTTCTTTGGGTCTTGTATTTCTTAGTCTACAAAACTTCCTAGTATATTTGAGCATGAAGGTGTATTAGTGGATTTTCTGATGCCACTACACAGACTGGACAAATTTTTATGAAAAGAGGTTTATTTTGGCTTCAGTTATGGAGGTCCAAGCCAAGCAGCAGGATCTAGTGATGGCCTTCTTGCTGGTAAAGCCGTAAAGCAGTACATCCTACAGGGCATCATATGGTGAAAACCCAGAATGAACATGTGTGTCTATGTCTCTGTCCAGCATCAATGGTGAGGACTACACTCCTATGGTGTTATCTAATCTTATTAATGCCACGAAGGCCCCACCTATGAACACATATTTGGTTTAAGTTTCCACCTTCTTACAATGAAGATTAAACTTTAACACAGGAAGTTCTAAGAGACACTCTCAAATCACATCTAGTCTATATTAAAAAGCTTTTTTTTTCACATTAAAACATTTCATAATAAGCCATGCTGGTGGTAGTTCATGCCTGTAATCCTAGCTACTCAGGAGGCTGAGATCTGAGCTGAGGATCACATTCAAAGCCTGCTCAGGCAGGACATCTCCAATTAACTACCAGAAAACTGGAAGTGGTGCTGTGGCTCAAGAGCTAGAGCACTAGCCTTGAGTTGAACAGCTCAGGGACAGTGCCTAGGCCCAGAGTTCAAGCCCCACCACTGAAAAAAAAAGTCATAAATTCCTATACTGTAGTAATTACATTTTTATTCACCCTACAAATAATACTAGGTTTACATGGTATTGGTCTATTACCTTCTCTTTTCACTTGTGCAGTTTAGGAACCTATGTCATTTTAGAGAGAAATGGGACATTTAAAATGCTACCATAATATTTTGATGTAGTATATGAGAGACCCTTACCTTCTTCTTAGAATTTGTAACTTGAAAGTATTTTGAGTTAACTAAAAAAAATTTTTTTCCTCAGTAAACACTGGTGGAAATAAGATTCATTAAAAACAGCTTTATCATTCTGATAAAAAAAAAACCAATGTACTTTGAAAAAGTGTATTAATTGCTCTAATAATGGCTGGCAAAAATTACAAAAACATTTGATAGGACCCATAAGTAGTTTCTGCATCAGAATTTCTTAAAGAATTATTAAAATAGTACCAAAGAATTCTAGGTTTAAACTGTTATGTGTAACTATATACATATTTATGATGTTTTCTTTTCTTTTTTCCTTTTGTTTGTGTAGTTTCTGTGGGAAGAGACTTTGAAGTATCAGTCTCAAATAGCCCAAGAACTGCTATCTGTGTACCTCCATTGGCCGCTACTTCTGTAAAGCCCCAGGTTGGCTGTACTGAGGACTACTTGCTCTCCAGGTTACCATCTGATGGCAAAGACGTTCCATTTGTGGTGCCCAAGTTTAAGTTATCTTATATTCAGCCCAGGACACAAGGACCTCATCCACCTCTGGAAGAACTTGAAGGTAAACAATAAAGTGGTAGGATTTAAAAATCAACAAGCTACATTTAAATGTTGTTTATATATATCTTGAATCTGAAATTTTTGTTTTGTTTTGTTTTGCCAGTCCTGGGACTTGAACTCAGGGCCTGTGCACTGTCCCTGAGCTTCTTTTGCTCAAGGCTATAGCACTCTACCACTTGAGCCACAGTGCCACTTCTGGCTTTTTCTGTGTATGTGGTACTGAGGGATCAAACCCAGGGCTTCATGCCTGCTAGGCAATCACTCTACCATTAAGCCACATTCCAGCCTGAATGTAAAATTTCTATAAAAAGTATAACTTGCTTTTTATATATCTTATCTTTCTGTAGAGGAGCTTATGTCTTGTGGTTTCAAAATATCCCATTATGAAATATGGCCACAATATAACCTATATGTGTATAGGTTTTGCTTTCATGTAAAGGAATAATTACATGCCTTGATCTTCCTTCACACTTTAAGAAAGAAATTTGATCAGTAAACAGAGGAATAGGTATAGCTTCTTATCAGCTATTTTCTAAAACTTGGTGCAATGAGAAATAAGGAAACAAGTAGTTTATCTTTCTACACTAGCCTATATTTCCCAACTAAATGGCTATGTGAAAAAGGTAATTCATTGACTATAGTCTGACATGTTGTAGAGGCCAATGTGCTAATGAGGATAAGAGGAAGGAATATGTAACTCTCATTTATTTTCTGTGCTGGTTCTAGGGCTTGAACTCAGGGCCTAGGTGCCATTCCTGAGTCTTTTTTTTTTTTTTTTGCTCAAGGCTGATCTTTACCACTTGAGCCATAGCTCTACTTTTGGCTTTTTTGGAAGTTAATTGGAGATAAGAGTTTGAACTTTCCCTCTCAGGCTGACTTTGATCTCAATCTCTTCAGTAGGTAGAATTACAGGCATGAGCCACCAGTGCCTGGCAAAGGTATAACCCAATTTGATCTCAAACCCTTGATCCTTCTGCCTCATCCTCCTTGTTGATTATTGGTGTGCACCTTCAAAGCTGGCTGTAGCTCTTATTTTAAAAAATAATTTGTGTTAGTGTATTTAAACACTGTCGATTATAGTGGCTTCCCTGTAAATCTCAAAATTAAAAGTTTCAAATATACACAAAAATGTAAAGATCTTAACAGTGATACCTGTGTGTTTACTTCTTAGATTCATTTATTAACATTTTTACTACACGAGCGCTCACGCTTGTGTGTGTGTGTGTGTTTGTGTGTTTGTGCCCAGCCTGGGGCTTGAACTCAGGGCCCGGATGCTTTCCCTGAGCATCTTCTTGAGCCACAGTTCCACTTTTGGCTTTTTGGTGGTTAGAGATAAAGGAGTCTCCTGGGCTGCCCTGCTTGGGCTGGCTTCAAACTGCAATCTCAGCCTTGACATTTTAGAGTAAATTGAAGACATCAGTACACTTCTTTGTAATAACATATATCTTTATATATGTTATATAAATATATGCTATGTACATACATATTTACTGAAGTTCAGTGATCTTTTTATACATCTTTTGACAACAATCTTATACACAATGAATTGTCCCAGTGCACACTTGTTGAATGTTATACATTTTTGAATTTCAAATGTATCTTTGTTGAATATTGACATTATACTATACAAATAATATATTGCAATTGTCTGTTAAGACCAGTGCCTCTGTGTTGTCCCTGAGCTTTATTTGCTTAAGGCTAGTGTTCTTCCATTTTGAGCCACTTCTGGTTTTCTGGTGGTTAATTGGAGATAAGGATCTCATGGATTTTTCCTGTTTGTGATTCTCATATCTCAGTCTCATGAGTGCTAGGATAAGGAGTTTGAGCTGCCAGAGCTTGCTCTTTGTTTTCTTTAGATTGTAAATTCATGGTCGCTTGCCCCTATTTTTTCCATTCTGTTTTTAAGCTTAACTATTGGATATTTTTTTTCAGATATTGCATGTTTCAGTTCTAAAATTCATATATTCATAGGTTTTATTTCTCTTCCAATTTTCCGTTTTTACATTATTGCAACCCTATTTTCTTTCATGTGGTTTATCTTTGCTCATTTCAAACATCTATACATCTAGATTTAGGTACTGTTGACTATCTTTTTTTTTTTTGGTCGGTTGTGGGCCTGAACTCTGGGCCTGGGCACTGTCCCTCAACTCTTCAGCTCAAGGCTAGTGCTCTACCACTTGAGCCACAGCTTCATTTCCGGCTTTTTCTGCTTAGGTGGTGCTGAAGAATCGAACCCAGGGCCTCATGCATGCAAGGCAAGCACTCTACCACTGAGCCACCTTCCCAGCCCCTATCTTTTTTTTTTTGAGGATGTATTTTCCAGCATCTTTCTATAGCATGTGATTTTCATGTTCTGTAATTTTGTGTTCTGGACATTGATTGTTACATGGTCAAGACTACATTTGATTACATTAATCTGAGAAGTCATGTTTTCTCTCCTTTCTCTCTGTCCTTCCCTCTCACTCACTCTTTGCCTTTCTCTGTCTTTCTACCAGATGTGTAACTTGGTTGAACTTAAACTACAAATTCAACCCTTGGATGGTTGTTCAGGTATTAGCCATATATTTGAGCCCATTTTCTTTGCAGAATTTGGGACATGCTTCTTTCCAGGATTCTCACCTTTCTTTCCAATGGCTCTGGATGCCTGGTATGCTGTACTATGGTTTATTTGCCAGTTTGCTATTGGAGTGTTATACACCCTGCATGGTGTCAGCTTTGGCCTACACTCAAGCTAAAAATAATCAAAACCAGATAACTTTGTACTGTTTCTTTTTTTCCAAGAGTAACTCCTGTCAAAAATCCATACTGTTAGCTGGGCACTGGTGGCTCACACCTGTAATCCTAGCTACTCAGGAGGCTGAGATCTGAGGATCATGGTTCAAAGCCAGACCAGGCAGGAAAGTGAGACTCTTATCTCCAATAAACCACCAGAAAATTGGAAGTAGCTCTGTGGCTCAAGCAGTAAAGTGATCGCCTTGAGCTGAAGAGTGCAGGGACAGTGCCCAAGCCCAGAGTTCAAGCCCTTCGACCGACCTACCAAGAAAAAAAAAATCCACAGTTTTTCTAGATTCTGCATTGCCAATAGGGATTTGTTTGTTTTCTGTAAGGGAGGTTAAGTCTAGAGGAAGAGATTTTTCTGTGTGGGTACTGATCCTGGGGCTTGAACTCAAGGGCGGGCGCTGTCCCAGGACCTGAGGCAAGCACTCTGCCCTTGAGCCACAGCTTCTGGCTTTTTGGTGGTTAATTGGAAATAAGAGTCCCAAGAACTTTGCTGCCCAGACTGGCTTCCAACTGTGATCCTCAGATCTCAGCATCCTGGGTAGCCACTGGCACCTGGAGAGATTTTGTTTTGTTTTGTTTTACTTTACAAAAAGGGAAAGATGGATCTTCCATTTTATTATACACATATCAAGTGTATCTCAAAACAAATTTAAAAGATTCTGGCTTAAAAGGTATGCTAATTCATTTTTTCTTTCATACTTGTTAAAAAACAAGGTTCATAATCTCTTTTATTCATATCAAATATTTATGAATGTGTTTTCATATTTATTGTTTTTAATGGATCTACAGTATTTCATCATATGGATGAGCCATTATTTAATAAGTAGTCTATATTTAAGACAACTTATTAGGGTGCTGTATGTGTTTTCCTAATCAGGAAAAAAGTAAGAAATAGCAATATATGGTCATTTTTCTTTTGCTTTTTTCATTACGCTCATTACAAAACAAATTGCATTTGGAGTCAAGTGAATGAGAAATTGGTTATTCTTAAATTAGAGGTCCATCAAGGGTGTTGTCACCATCTAGTTTTAATATATTGGAGAAGATTTACTTCAAAAAGTTTAGACTCAAGAAGAAAGCCTTCTTGGAACCTAATCATATATTTGTGTGCATATATGCATTGCATGTATGAATGATAGATTGAGATGAAGAAGAAAATTTTGAGAAGATGGACCACTATCGCTGAGGATTAAAATTGTCTCCGGTATTAGAGATTTATTCCTTTGCACTGTTTACTTGTTGATTGTCTGATCCAGTCTGTTTTGATATCAGACTTTAACGCTACCATTTTGTTGTTCTTTATCACATATTTTACTTGTTCATCAGTAGTACATATTCTGAATTTAAAAATTTAAATATGAATTTTTTTATTTTTATTTTTTCAGTCGTGGGGCTTGAACTTTGGGCCTGGGCACTATCCCTTAGCTCTTCAGCTCAAGGAGAACACTCTACCACTGGAGCCACAGCACCACTTCCAGTTTTCTGAGTGGTTATTGGAAATATGAGTCTCATGGAGTTTTTGGCCCGCGCTGGCTTTGAACTGTGATCCTCAGATCTCAGACTCCTGAGTAGTTAGGATTACAGGTGTGAGCCACCGATGCCTGGCTAAATATGAATTTTGAAAGTTGTACATAGTCAGAAAATGTGCATTACTTACTGCACTGTGGGTTAGTACACTGAGATAAATTTTACCAGAATCTGAAAAATGATACCAGTGTATACCATATAATGGGAAAATTGCAATTGTTTAGTGATTTTTCTAAAGAAAAAATGAAATGAGAAAACTGTATTCTTTTTTAGATGTAGGTTATCAAAGTGGTAAGTTATCTCTGGTATTCCTACTCTTGAGAGTTCTAATGATCAGTGTTACTATGGTTACTGTAACAAAGACTGTCCTAGCAATGTTGTATGCTAGCTACTGAAAAGTTAGAAGTATACAGACAATAGCTCAGGAATCAGTTTCTTGGCACCCTTCTGCCTCTGTGCTGTTCTTGAATTATATACATTGGTGTTTGAACCAGGAGGATAAGAAATCACATCTCCTTCTCAATATTTTTCTTTTCCGAATTCCATGCAAAATCATCTTATTATTTAGCTTAATTCAGAAAGTATTATTTTATACAGGGTGTTCCAATTTAAAGTAGAACAAAAATAATTAAAAGATGACATTGTATGCCTCTGAATTTTTTTATGCCTATATGTTGTTTCCAGTACAACTATTCTCCTTCAAAGGAATTTTATGAATACCTTTTCCCTTAAGTTGTGAGAAATCATTCACATGTAGGAAAATGTCCTAGCCAGAAACATACAGCTTGGTGATTTGTTGCAAAGTAAAACACCTGTAAGTCATCACCCAGGTAAAGAAATAGTGTTACCAGATACTCCAAAGCTCCCCTCTTTCCTTTTTAGTTATTCAGAGTAATCAGTATCACAATTGTTATCATTCTCCTGTTTCTTACCACCAAAGCAAATATTCCTAAATGTTGTGCCTTAATATTTTTGTTTTCTAACCTTTATTTAAATGGCCTATTCAGTATGTATTCTTTTTTGTTATTGAACACCCTATTTATGTGTGAGATTCATTCAAGTCATTGATAGTTTTAGTTTGTTTTCATATCTGTACATAATGTATTACAGTATATAACTGATTCTAGATGGCATGCAATACAGTAGTGCTTCTCTGTAGCATATTGTTAGGTATTTTATGCAACAGTCCCACACTGATTTTTGTCTGTTTTCCTGTTGATGGTATTTGAGTCTATCAGTTTGGGCCACTATAGAGAATGATACTCATGACCTTTTTCAGATACTTCTCTAGTGCATGTGTAAAGCAGTTTCAGCTGTGTTTGGAATGGCATTGTAGGTCCACAGGGCATAAATATGTCAGTGTTAGTAGAATTCACCAAACTGTTTTCCACAGTGATTACATCAGAGTTACATTCCCACCAGCAGAATGTAATACTTTATAGTCAACACTTTCTTGTCAACACTTGCTATTATCTGAGTTTTACCCATTCTGCTGAGTGTCTGTCCTTTTACTGATTTATAGTGGTTCTTCATATAGTCTAGATACAAACTGTTTGTCAGTTATGTTGTACCATGTGTCTTCTCCTTTCTACTCTCTAAAATAGAATATTTCAACAAACAGAATTTTTTAAGTTATTGAGTAACTTAAACTGGTCCTCCATTGTGTAAGAGCCCTTAGCTAGCCACTTGAGCCATTCCTTCATCTCACAGTGCTCTAGGTCACTTTTAAGATAGAATCTCCCTTTTTGCCTGGGCCAACCTGAAACTACAGTCTTCCTAGCTATGCCTGTTGTTCAGCTGCCATTAGGCATGGATCACTACTTCCAGCATATCTGTTGCGATAGATCTCACTAATTTTTGCCCAGCCTATCTTTGAACCTTCCTGATCACCACTTTACAAGTAGTTGGAATTGCAAGTATGAACCACTATGCCTGTGATTAATGTGCTCTGTGTTCCATTTCAGAACCCTGTCCTAAGGCAGTGAAAACTGTCTTACATGTCACTTAAATATAGAAGTCTTATTATTTTGCTTATAACATTTAATTTGAACTATCAACCCATGTAATTAATTTTTATTAATATTAAGTGAAACCTTATTTTCTTTCCACATCAGTATCCAATTGTCTCTAGCACTTGAGTTTCAGTTCTTCCTTTCCCTGCTACTGAGCAGGGTTACCGAGACCATATATCAGGTGCCCATAAAATGGTATTTCAGGACTTTCTTTTCTGTTCCATTAATCAGTCTGTTTGTCATGATGTCAAAATTCTGTTTTTAACACTCAGAAGAATAAATTTTTCAGTTTTTTGGGGGGTGGGTTGTTTTTTGTTTGTTTGTTTGTTTTTACTGAATATTATCTTTTTGGCTATTCTTGGTCCTTAGTCTTTCCATAGTTTCTGTACACGTTTTTGTTACTTCATTTCCAACTTAATAGCAACTTTAATTATGGTTAAAAAAAAAAAGAAAAGCCTGTACTTTGAATGATTTCAGTCTTTTCAAATATCACAACTCTTCAGTTTATCTCAGTATGTGGTCAGGGTTTTTTTGTTTTGTTTTTTTAATTTTTTTATTTTATTTTATTTTTTGGGTCCAGTCGTGGGGCCTGAACTCTGGGCCTGGGCGCTGTCCCTCAGCTCTTCAGTTCAAGGCTAGCGCTCTACCACTTGAGCCACAGTGCCACTTCCGGCTTTTTTCTTTTTGCTTATGTGGTGCTGAGGAATCAAACCCAGGGCCTCAGGCATGCAAGGCAAGCGCTCTACCACTGAGCCACAGCGCCACTTCCGGCTTTTTTCTTTTTGCTTATGTGGTGCTGAGGAATCAAACCCAGGGCCTCAGGCATGCAAGGCAAGCGCTCTACCACTGAGCCACCTTCCCAGCCCTGTTTTGTTTTTGTTTTTTAATTCCAGTACTAGGGCTTGAACTCAGGATCTTGAGCTTTTGCTTGCATTTTTGGTCACAGCTGGTATTCTACCACTTGAGCCATGCACCCACTTCTGGCTTTTTGCTGGTTAATTGGAGATAAGAATCTCTTAAATTTGTCTGCCTGCCTTCAAATCTCTTCCCCCCACATACCAGCTTCCTGAGTAACTAGTCATCAGTGCTCAGATAGTGTTGGTTTTTGTAAAAGTTGTGTCTTCTTAAAAAGGGTGGATCTAAAAACAAAATATTTTTGTTTAAAAGATGTCTTATAATGTTAAGTTAAAAAAATAAGGAAAAGCTCAGGCTACAAAACAGAAAATTATCTGTAGAGCAACAAAAAGGGGGGAAAATCCTGTGTAGAGATGTCACAGTGAAACTCCCTCATTACAAATGTATGTTCACTCAAAAAATAAAATAAAAATTCTAAAATTTACCAGACTGTCTTAAGAGCAGGATTCCTGGTCCTATCTCACATATAGTAACTTTACACAGAACCTCATAAAAAGATACTGATTTTTTTTCTTTTAGCTATGAAGGGTGTGTGATTTAATGTTACTTGAGACAAAACATTTTTTCCTTTGCGTGTACCAGGTTTTGGCTTACAACTCTTCTCTAAAGGATATTGTAAAATGTTAGAAACATTTGCTTTCAGGATCTGCCAGAGCATCTTTTGGAGATCGAAAGGTAGAACTTTCCAGTTCATTACAGCATGGTTCCAGCTATGATGTGTACAATCCCTTCTACCTGTATCAGAGCATCTCACCTGACTTGAGCCGGCGCTTCCCTCCTCATTCAGAAGTGACAAGACTATATGGGTCAGGTATAAAACCTTTTTGTGCTTTTCCTCTGTGTTTCTCCTTAAAAAATTTAGAAATCAGCCAGGCACTGGAGGCTCACACTGGAGATCTAAGGATTGCAGTTTGAGGCCAGCCTGAGCAGGAAAGTGTGAGATTCATCTCCATTAACCATCAGAAAACCAGAAGTGGCTCTGTGGTTCAGTGTGGGATAGCACTAGCTTTGAGCAGAAGAGCGCAGGGACAGCACCCAGGCCCTGAGTTCAAGCCCCATGATTGAGAAAAAAAATTAGAAATCAAATTAAGTCTTCTAAGACTCTGTCAGAAATTATTTGTATTATTAAAAATTTATGGAAGGTTGACATTGTCCAAAAAGAATTGTACCTTTAAGTTATTTCTATAATTGTGACCCCTCTGCACATCCCCTTTATAATAACAAAAAATTATAGCTGGGTATAGTGTCTTATATCTATATCCTAACTACTTAGGAAGGTGCGATCCAAGAATTGTGGTTTGGAGCCATAGACAAATACAAGAGATTCATCTCTCCAGTTAACCAGCAAAAAGCTAGAAGTAGTGATGTGACTCAAGTAGAATAACATAAATGGAGAATACCAAGCAAGAAAGAACTCAAGCCCCAGTACCAGTATACACGTATACACACAAATTTTAAGTATCTTAACTTCTTTGTGGTAGTATATTAATATAATTATATTAATGTAATTAATAGAATGAGAGAAGGAAATAGGGGAGACTGACAAAAAGAGTGTGATTGATAAAGATGCATTGTACTTGCAACCTGACTTATGAAATTCTAACCTTATGAAATTGTAACCAACTTAATGATATATATGTGTGTGTGTGTGTGTGTGTGTGTGTATACATATATATTTATTTATTTATTTTTGGCTGGTCATGGGCCTGAAATCTGGGCCCTGGGCACTGTCCCTCAGGTCTTCAGTTTAAGGCAGTGCTCTACCATTTAAGCCACAGCACCACTTCCGGCTTTTTCCGCTTATGTAGTGCTGAGGAATGGAACCCAGGGCCTCATGCATGCAAGGCAAGCACTCTACCACTGAGCCACCTTCCCAGACCTTAATAAAATATTTTTAAAAAGAAAAAAGAGCCCGGTGCCGGTGGCTCACACCTATAGTCCTAGCTACTGAGGAGGCTGAGATCTGAGAATTGCAGTTCAAAGCTAGCCTGGGCAGGAAAGTCTATGAGACTCTTATCTCTAATTAACTACCAGAAAACTAGAAGTGGTGCTGTGGCTCAAGTGATAGAGCGCTCACCTTGAGCTGAAGAGTGCAGGGACAGCATGTAAGCCCAGAATTCAAACCCCACAACCTACAAAAAGAAAAAGAAAAAAGATTAATGCATTGTTTTGTTGGTAGCTCCAAAATCCATTTTTTTCCTATTTTTAAAGTTTTGTTTTTAAGTTATTTTGTGCATATTTTATGTATTAGCTATTCAAGTGAATTCTGGAGCACATATTAATAAGCTTTTTTTGTTCAATCCTAATCGCTTAAATTTAAGAGCTTACAATGTAATTAGAAATATAGAACTTTCAGTTTTTTATCAGTTATAGGCTACTTTATGTGTTTCCACTTTATAAAATTATCACAACTTTTCAAGTCTTTGATACAAATCTGGGTCATTCATATATGTGTGTATGCAGACAGGAGATAGATACATAGATATCATTCAACCACTGAATTCAGAGTAAGATATTGAATAAAGAGAATATTTACTGAGGTGCCTACTCTGTTCTTGAATGTACATTTGGAAGATGGAGTTTGTTTTTCCAAGGATTTTCCAATTTAAAATGTGCTATGTGCCCATTAAGTAACTGAATTGCACTCAGCACAGAGTACTTATGTACTCTTAGATTATTCTCAGGTGAAAATTTGAGAATGTAAACAAAAAAAACCTGTTTATGACTCTAAAAAATGTGTTGTTTCTATTTAATTGTTTCAAACAAAAGGAAAATCATTGAAAAAAGTTTTAGTTTTCACCAGAAAAGTTTATTATGTAGATTTTCATATGACATATACAATGTGTTCTACTAGGAACTTGGCTTATGATGAAACTCTGTGCTTCATTTTCATTTTCAATTTTTTTGTTCATTTAGTGGGATATGAACTCAAGGCTTTGTGCTTGTTAAGCAGGTACTCTACCACTTAAAACACACCTCCATCCCTTCTCCAGTTATTTTTCAGATAAGTCTTACTTTTTTGCCCAGGAGAGTGTATTTATACTTTCTACCATGTTGGGATACAGGCACATGCCACCATAACCTACTGTTTTTCTTTTTGTTTTTTCTTTTGTCAGTCATGGGGCTTGGACCTCTGTCCCTGAGCAGTTTTGCTCAAGGCTGATGCTTTACCACTTTGAGCCACAGAGCCACTTCAGTTTTCTAATGGTTAACTGAAGATAAGTCTCACAGACTTTTCTGCCTGGGCTGGCTTTGAACCATGATCCTCAATTTCAGCCTCCTGAAACAAATCATAAGATTGAGTATTTTTGATAAACTATATAAAGAAGTCAGAATTGATCTTTTTTTTTTCTGTCGGTACTGGGGCTCTGGGCCTGGGCTTTGTCCCTTAGCTCTTCAACTCAAGACAAGTGCTCTACCACTTGAGCCACAGCACCACTTCTGGTTTTCTGGTGGTTTATTGGAGCTAAGAGTCTCACAAACTTTCCTGCCTTGTCTGGCTTTGAACGGGGGGGGGGCCTCAAATCTCAGCCTCCTGAGTGGCTAGAATTACAGGTGTGAGCTGTCAACTCCCGACTTGAAAGGAGGATTTTGGGAACTGTTTTGTTTGGGCTAGCCTGGAACCACAGCCCTCCCCATTTCAACCTCCCAGGTCTTGCAAGCTTTTTCCCAGATTGGCCTGGAATCACAGTGCTCCAATCTCTGCTTCTCTAATAACCACAGGCATGAGCCATCACTGCTCACCTTATTTTCTTTCCTATAAAAAGCAATACTTTTCTCTTGTCCCTTTGTAGTTTGTGATTTAAGGACCAGCAAGCTTCCTGGTTCCCCTGGGCTAAGCAAATCTATGTTTGATCTTACAAGTTCATCTCAGAGATTCACCCAGGTAAAGTAATATTATTTCAAAACTAAAATTGTATGATTTTTTTCAAATTAAAAATTCTGGAAGGTGTGAATTACATTAGATATTACAAATTTTCCTGTGAATATATCCATGCTAATATCTGAAGAGTAAACACTTGACATTTTCCATGCATTCATTATTTTAAGAAATTCTTAGTTAACTAATAAAAAGTAGTGTTTTCCTTTTGTTCATTTTTCAAAAAGTTTATATTTCTCAATTTTTATATACATAAGGAATCGTTATACAGGTAGAATTCAAAATGGTATAGTTAAAAATGGTTATTTAATTTTCCTTATGAAACAAACTATAGTTACTAAGAGTGTTTCTTTTCAGATGTAGTAATTGCTGATGGTTTTTGAAATGGAATTGTGAATTTTCTGATACTTTAAAGATGTTTCATTTTTAGTGCAAATAAACTATTTAAAATTAGTAACTATTATAATTAGGAAACAGAGATAAGCAAAGTAAAAAAGAAATAATTGGTATTTCTGTAAATGAAAGCAGGAACGCTCGAAAATGTGTGTGTGTGTGTGTGTGTGTACGTGTGTGTTTGTGTGCTCGATACTTGTAGACTTCAATGTGAAAATAAAATGGAAGTGTATTCTAAGTCATTCACAAAAATTCTCACCTGAGATAATTCTTTATAGCATTAATCTTTGAACAAGTATAGAATTGTTTGGAGAGGTTGTTAAAATACACACTGCCAGGCTCCAAATCCAAGTTTTAATTTAGTAACCCAGTGATGTATCCTGAGGGTACATGTGTGTGCCTGTGTGTGTGTGTGTACATGCGTGCATGCATGGGTGTGCCAGCATGTGCCAGTCCTGGGCTTGAACTCAGGGTCTGGGCAATGTCCCCTGACTTTTTTTCTCAAGGCTAGCACTGCCACAGCTCCACCTCTGGCTTTTTGTTAGTTAATTAGAGACAAGAATCTCATGAACTTTCCTTCCTGGGCTAGCTTCCAAACATGATCGTCAGAGCTCAGCCTCCTGACTGGCTAGGATTATAATGACAGGTGCCCAGCTGGGACCTGAGTTTTATTTGTACCAACCTCCTAAGTGCTGCTGTGTTTTGATTTTCAATAATGATTTTTAAGTATGAAATTTAAGAAATTATCTGTTAAAAACTAAACCAAAAATAAAGCCTTCTCAGTTTATTATCTTGTAAAATATTTAAGAGTTATCTGTTAACCATGTGCAGAGAAAGCTTTTTATCCCTCTACTATACAAAAGTGAGGTCCAAGCATGGAGGTACATATTTGTAATCCCAGCTACTTAGGAAGTGGAGATAGGAGGATGGTGATCTGAGGCTGTTACAGGTAAATGATAAGAGCCTATTTGAGAAACAAACTGAAAGCAAAAGGACTGTATGTAGCTTGAGTGGTAGAGGACTTACTTAGCAAGAGCAAGACCTTGAATTTAATCTCCAGTACCATGACCAATAATTAACAATATAGTTATAATGTTTGTAATAATATAATAATTATTATGTATGCTATAAATATATATTGTTATATTCTATAATTGTTAATTATATATTATATAATTATAGGTAGTTATGGCATTAATAATAACTATGATGATGATGATAGTAGGAGGTTCTGACCACTAATACTACCAAAATGATTAGCATGCAATTTGACACTAGGGTGATTATTGGGGCATATCAAGTTTGATATGCAATTTTTAACTAAAGGAATTTTTTATTTGTAGAGACATGACTCACTGTCCAGTATACCTAGTAGTTCTTCTTCAAGAAAAAACTCTCAAGGCAGTAACAGAAGCCTGGGTAAGAAATCAATCCCATTTTTATAATAAGAGAGTTATTTCTGCTCAATAGTAATTAAAAATTTATTATGTAAAAAGTGATATAAATCTACACAATTATATCTATATTGGTGGTATTAACAGCACGTGCATAGTCTGTTTAGATGACCCATTTCTCAGTGTTCAGACATGAGTGACTTTTAGCATTAAATATCCTTTGTTTATTTTAAAGTATATGAATGAACTTCCAGAATCATGTGGTTTTAAGGCCTTATAAATGTTATTTGGGAAGCTTTTTTAGAGTTTTAACTTAAATTCTTCACCCTACATCTGCTTATATTTTTAAGCCATATACCTTGTATACTGTATTTTATCCATGTCACTTCAATAAAAACATAGAAATGTGATTTTTGTTTATTAAATTGAGAACTTTAAAAAATAATTGTTACATTTTTTCAACAGCACTCTTAAAATTGGGTTGTATCAAAGGTTAATTTGGTCAAGGGATTGATTATTGAAATCTTTATCTTTTCACATTCAGATACAATTACTCTATCAGGAGATGAAAGAGATATTGGGAGATTGAATGTGAGATTGTTTTATAATTCTTCAGTAGATCAGATCTGGATCACAGTTCTCCAGGTAAATTGGAATAGTTAACACCAACCCTTATTGCAAAATTGAGTCTTTACTCCTGTAAATAGCTCTTGTTGCCCTCTTTTGGGGAAAGAGCCCTTCCCCAGAAGAACTGACATCAAAATTTAAGAAGGTAGTTGCATCTAAGAAAACAAATCTGTGGTGTGAGTGATATTTTAACTTTAAGAAGGAAATTGAGTAAATCTATAATGCTTGATGCCAAAAATATTTCAATTAGATGAAGTACATGAATGTACATGAACTCTTACAATTAAAATAGCTAAAAGTTAGTTTGAAAACTTGCCTAATGTCTTTAACTCAAATCAAATATTAGTGTTTGCCAGTGTCTTTTGTAAAATTTAAACTCTACTTTAAAATTTTCAGTGTAGGGATTTATGCTGGCCTGCTAGTTACGGAGATGCTCCCACCATCTGTGTAAAAGGAGTTCTAACATTGTCCAAGCCAGTGCATTTCAAGTCCTTGGCTAAGGAGGCTTCCAATGTAAGTGGCTGTTTGTATTTGAGTTTCTTTTCTGCTTTCCTCATGTATTGCATTTATCTGTGTAAAGCATAAAAGTGAAAAAAAAAGGTTTTATTTAGGGAAATTAAAAATGATGTACTTTTACTTTTATGCAGTTCTTGCTTTTTTTTAATTTTTTATTGTAAAGATACTATACAGGGGCTGGGAAGGTGGCTCAGTGGTAGAGCACTTGCCTTGCATACTCGAGGCCCTGGGTTCGATTCCTCAGCACCACATAAGAAAAAAGCCAGAAG